CATCTGTAGACTTTTTTGGGGGATAAACAACAGTCAGTTCCCCTCCGTCAGCTGTCAGTGTCTCATTTGGTAGATCCTTTCCTCTTCCTGTCCCTGAGACACAACAGGAAGTGTGTGGGGGGGTGAGGGGTCCCCTTTAGACAGCTGTCACCAAATCAGTTGTCTCCAATGGAACATTTCCCCCCCTCACTTCCTGTTATACTGACAACTGGTCGTTTGATATCACTCGCCGTCTCCCCCACATCCAATTCTTCCGCACGCTGTGTCCAGGCTTTACACTGCGGAAGGGAGGGGAGGAAGGGAGAGAGGAAGGAAGGGGGGGAGGAAGGCAGAGAGGAAGGGGAGGAGCAAAGGGAGAGAGGAAGGAAGGGGAGGAGCAAAGGGAGGAAGGGAGAGAGGAAGGAAGGGGGGGAGGAAGGGAGAGAGGAAGGGGAGGAGCAAAGGGAGGAAGGGAGAGAGGAAGGAAGGGGGGGAGGAAGGGAGAGAGGAAGGGGAGGAGCAAAGGGAGGAAGGGAGAGAGGAAGGAAGGGAGGAAAGGGGGGAAGGGGGGAAAGGGTGGAAGGAGTGAAGGAAGGGGAGGAGCAAAGGGAGGAAGGGAGAGAGGAAGGAAGGGGGGGAGGAAGGGAGAGAGGAAGGGGAGGAGCAAAGGGAGGAAGAAGGTAAGAGAGAGGAGAGGAGGAAAGCAATGGGAGGAAGGGAGAGCGGGGGGGAGGGGAGAGTAAAGGGTGAAAGGAGTAAGGGAAGGAAGTGGAGGAGCGAAGGGAGAAAGGAGGGGGGAGTGAAGGGAGAGAGGAAGGGGGGGAGGAAAGGGAGGAAGAAGGTAAGGGAGGAAGGAGGGAAGGAAAGCGGGAGTGGGGAGTGAAGGGAGGAAGAAGAGAATGAAGAAGGACAGGAAGGAAGGGAGAAAGTAGGGAGGTGAGATGGAAGGAAGGAAAGGGAACAGGGAGAACAATTGTCCTTTAAGCGGAGGAAGAATAAAGGGGATCAGGAGGCGCCCCCCAGAAGGGCCACACACGTCAGAAGACTGCGGGCTCAGAAATCAGAGTCTCGGGGGTTATCAGGTGACGCAGACATGGGGGCCGAGGTCCGGCTGTGTCACAGCGTCATTCCCCTGTGTCCCCGGCTCAGGGACTCAGTTTCTTGCTCATGTGGGGGTCATGTTTGGAGCCCCCCATACACGCAGGGCTCTCGGTGACGGCAGGCTTGGATAGACAGAGCATGGACGGGGCCGGCAAGCTCCTCCTTCAGCAAGTCGTTGACCAGCCTGTGCCTCTGTATGAGCGACTTCCCACTGAACTCCTCGGCTACCACCACCACCTTAAAGTGCGTCTCCGACCCCGGGGCCACGGCGTGCATGTGGCTCTCGTTGTGGACCTCGAGGTGGCACGGCTCCAGGTTCTGAGTCAGCTTGGACCTGATGGAAGCTTCCACCGGCTTCTCCATTGTGTGCCGCGGTGTGGAATATCTCGATGATGTCAAGAGAGACGGGAAGAGCCGGCAAGATGGGAGGAGTCGGCAAGATGGGAGGAGCCTCAAGGAAAGCATCAGATCCGTGATAGGCCTGGAAGAGAGACACAAATGTATCATTGTAACTGAAATGTATCCGAATGTTTCTTCCAATTCCATGTGCACAAAGGTCAGAATTACACTGGCGGTAGGGTGAGGACCTGGGCCCCTCAGACTCCTGGTCTGTCCCACCCACCGTGACATCACACCTAGACTGACAGACCAGGAGGCCCCACCATGACATCACACCTTGACCGACGGACCAGGAGGCCCCACCATGACATCACACCTTGACCGACGGACCAGGAGGCCCCACCATGACATCACACCTTGACCGACGGACCAGGAGGCCCCACCATGACATCACACCTTGACCGACGGACCAGGAGGCCCCACCATGACATCACACCTTGACCGACGGACCAGGAGGCCCCACCATGACATCACACCTTGACCGACGGACCAGGAGGCCCCACCATGACATCACACCTTGACCGACGGACCAGGAGGCCCCACCATGACATCACACCTTGACCGACGGACCAGGAGGCCCCACCATGACATCACACCTTGACCGACGGACCAGGAGGCCCCACCATGACATCACACCTTGACCGACGGACCAGGAGGCCCCACCATGACATCACACCTTGACCGACGGACCAGGAGGCCCCACCATGACATCACACCTTGACCGACGGACCAGGAGGCCCCACCATGACATCACACCTTGACCGACGGACCAGGAGGCCCCACCATGACATCACACCTTGACCGACGGACCAGGAGGCCCCACCATGACATCACACCTTGACCGACGGACCAGGAGGCCCCACCATGACATCACACCTTGACCGACGGACCAGGAGGCCCCACCATGACATCACACCTTGACCGACGGACCAGGAGGCCCCACCATGACATCACACCTTGACCGACGGACCAGGAGGCCCCACCATGACATCACACCTTGACCGACGGACCAGGAGGCCCCACCATGACATCACACCTTGACCGACGGACCAGGAGGCCCCACCATGACATCACACCTTGACCGACGGACCAGGAGGCCCCACCATGACATCACACCTTGACCGACGGACCAGGAGGCCCCACCATGACATCACACCTTGACCGACGGACCAGGAGGCCCCACCATGACATCACACCTTGACCGACGGACCAGGAGGCCCCACCATGACATCACACCTTGACCGACGGACCAGGAGGCCCCACCATGACATCACACCTTGACCGACGGACCAGGAGGCCCCACCATGACATCACACCTAGACTGACAGACCAGGAGACTCCACCATGACATCATACCTTGACCGACAGACCAGGAGACCCCACCATGACATCACACCTAGACTGACAGACCAGGAGACCCCACCATGACATCACACCTTGACCGACAGACCAGGAGACCCCCACCATGACATCACACCTAGACTGACAGACCAGGAGACCCCACCATGACATCACAATGGACCCCATCCTGACCCGAAACAAACAGGCAGGTCAGGATTTCACTGGCTGCATGCTTGCTCCTTGTCAGAAGGATGGACATGAAAGGCAGGAGTCCTGCATTGTCCCGGTGACCCCAGCTCAGGAATTGGGGGCATTCCCAAGGACATCGATCCTAATTATAACAGGGACAGGTGACCCCACAGCCCGGTCCTGACATGATAATTATAGGGGTACAGTGAACGATAATAAAGAGTATTAACCCCCCCTATACTCACCGCACACTTCCGTCCTCGCTGCCTGCCAGGAGGAGCGCGCACTGCCACCTGGGAAGTGTAGTCTCCGCCCCCGCCTCCACCGCCAGCACGGGCGGCTCAAGAAACTACATCTCCCAGCATGCACCGGGGGAGCGCGACCCCCGTCCACTTTACTGACCACTGCTAATGAAGAAAGAGGAATTATTTTAGAGCTGCGACTTCGGAGAATGTCTCCCTCTGATAATGAAGCGTAAGCAGCTTGTGACAGAGAGAAAACTGAGGAGAAATAACCGCGTCATTATCACTGACTGTCATATCACATCTGACCACTGGGGGGCGGGCTTGTCATAGTTATATATATACGGATACACGGAGAGAACAAAGTTATTATTATTATTTTCCTATTACTTTGGAT